GAATGAAGGGGTGAGGGCGATCTCCTAAGGCATTTTGCACCAAGCAGTATAGTTTGAGCAGTTCCCTGAAAACACCACCAACCTAAACCCATTGTTGGATCCGTAGCTTTCCATGAACCATCAAACCGACATCGTAATGATTGGTTTGGGGGTTCATAAAATTCCGTAAATGTAATATTGTCGATCGGTTCCATTTGAGCTTTTTCCCACAGTAATTTCTCACTCAAGGCGTGATTAGTTTTCTTTAAATATATAAATATCATAAAAATGTTCTAATGCGTATTTTCAACAACCAAACCAAAACATAACTATACTAGGATTTAACCCGCGGTACACTGCGGGGCAAAATTGTATTTTATATAATAATTTATAATTTATTGGATTTTTAAATTCATACTATAAAAAATTATTTCTCATTTATTTATTTTATATTATAATTAATATAGTTAAAATATATAAATATTGTTTTTGGTTTGTTGTATTTGCTACTTAAATGTGTTAATTTGTATTGATGTACTGTACTTAGAAGATTTGTAGGTGTAGAAATGATATAGTGTTAATATTGGCAAGCATTTATAATCATGGACTATTATAATAATTTGATATTATTTTGTATCAAAACAATTTACTCCGCGGTACATTGCGGATAGATTTTTTAAAATTAAAATTTTAAATTTTAAGGTATATCTGTTTTGTTAGTATTGTTTTTTTTGTTTAGTGTTTAAGATTATATGATTATATTATTTTTTTTAATTCTAGGATTCACATGTGCTATAGCGTTTCGTATTAATATCGATCCAAACTCGTCCCACCATATAACCCTGTCCCATGAAATTAAACAGCATTTAGTTATTTTTCTTTTTACTAATATTTTTATTTAAAAGACATATAATTCGAGTCAATTTAAAAGTTTTCTTTAAATGGTTCTCATAATATATATTTATATATATATGTTTTAATTGTTATATAGTTAAAATATTATAAACTTTTTATAAAACTTAAATATTATAAATACTCTAAACGTTTTATAAAGTTTAAATATTTATAAATATTTTATAATGTTTAAACTTTTTATAAATTCTTATAAAATTCAAATATTTCAAATATTTGCCGGAGTCAATCGATCTACATATCAACGCCAGTATTTGCCGGAGTCATATCAAATATTTCAGATCGATTGACTCCGGCAAATACTGGCGTTGACCAGCCCTGACCAACAAAAATATTTTAACAAAATATTTTTATTTATTTTAATATTAAAATAAATAAAACAAAAATAGTTTTATTTGGTGTTGTATAATAAAAAAATAGTAACTATATTCAATATAAAATATTTTGTATATATAATCTTAATGCATTAATTTTAGAGAAATTGTTAAAAATGCCCCTTTTTCAATAGCCCTTTTCAAAAATGCCCCCTTTGAAAGTCCATTTTTAAGTTTGCCCTCTTTTAATATTTTGTATTTTGTGGACCTAATTTTGTTATATTTCCTTATATATTTGTGATATCTTTTATTAAAAGAACGGTAATTTAGTCATTTTGTACATAAAAAGGGGTATTTTTAAAAATGAACAGCCAAAGGGGGCATTTTTGAAAAGGGGTATTGAAAAAGGGGCATTTTTGTGAGTCTCCCTTAATTTTTTTATAATAGTTAGTTTTTCTTTTCAATTTCAAAACAAAAATAAAAGTGTAATAAAAATCATTAATAAATTTTAAGATATTAAAATTTAAACTGAAACCCGAAAATCTTATTGGAATCAATAAATTAAGGGAATTTCTTACTTTTACATCGTTAATTAAAGAGAAATTGTTAAAAATGCCCCTTTTTCAATACCCCTTTTCAAAAATGCCCCCTTTGAGAGTCCATTTTTAAGTTTGCCCTCTTTTAATTTTTAATGACCATTTTACCCTTATTTGAAACAAAATTAGGTCCACAAAATACAAAATATTTTTTGGCGGGAAAAGTGATCCCGCAATTTTCCCGCCAAAACACTTGTAAAAAACCTTTAAAATACCTTGTAAAATTTTCCCGTAAAATTTTTCCCGCCAAAAAATTTTCCCGCCAAAAAATTTTTTTTGCGGGAAAAGTGATTCCGCAATTTTTTTTTTTGGCGGGAAAATTTTTGGCGGGAAAAATTTACAAGGTATTTTAAAGGTTTTTTACAAGTGTTTTGTAAGGTTTTACAATGTATTTTAAAAGGTTTTACAAGGTACTTATTAGGTTTTATAAGGTATTTATAACTTGTAAAACCTTATAAAAAACTTGTAAAACCTTATAACTTGTAAAAACCTTATAAAATAGCTTGTAAAATCTTATAATATCTTGTAAATACGTTGTAAAACCTTTTAAAATACATTGTAAAACCTTATAAATACCTTGTAAAAAACCTTTAAAATACCTTGTAAATTTTTGGCGGGAAAAATTTTCCCGCCAAAAATTTAACGCCAAAAAAATTGCGGAATCACTTTTCCCGCAAAAAAAATTTTTTGGCGGGAAAATTTTTTGGCGGGAAAAATTTTACGGGAAAATTTTACAAGGTATTTTAAAGGTTTTTTACAAGGTTTTACAAGTGTTTTGGCGGGCTAAATTGCGGGATCAATTTTCCCGCCAAAAAATATTTTGTATTTTGTAGACCTAATTTTGTTATATTTCCTTATATATTTGTGATATATTTTATTAAAAGAAGGGTAATTTAGTCATTTTGTACATAAAAAGGGGTATTTTTAAAAATGGACAGCCAAAGGGGGCATTTTTGAAAAGGGGTATTGAAAAAGGGGCATTTTTGTGAGTCTCCCTTAATTAAAAGATATTAAATTCTTATTTGATTAGTTTAAATACAAAATAATTCTATTACTCAATATTTTTCAACCGCAAAAATTCCTACAATGAAAATCATTAGAATCGATCAAACCCAATACATATGACTTTCATTAAGAAATAATATGCAAAACAATTGAGTATGTAACTCTTTAGTCTAAATTTTACACGGTAAAAATTTTTAATTCAAAATTGATAATTTATTTAATGTTTAATACATAAGAAGTTAATATTTTTAATTGATAATATAAAAATAAACAATTCCCTTACTTAATTGATTATAATAAGATTTTTCCGATTTTAATTTTAATTTTAATATCTTAAAATTTTGTAAATTATTTTTTATTACCCTGTTAGTTTAGTTTTGAAATTGAAAAACCTAACTATTATAAGAATTAATGTATTAAATATATACAAAATATATTTTTATTGGATATAGAATGTGTTTTTTGATTATACGACACCAAATAAAATTATTTTTATTTTTTGTTTTTAATATTAAAAATAAATAAAATATTTTTTTTGAATATTTTTCTTGGTCAATGCCGGTCAACGTCGGTCTTCGCCAAAGTCAATCGATTGGTGTACCAGAATTTTATGTCTATGGTGTTAACCACATGAGACTTATAGTTCATACATGTGGCCATGCAATACATCTACTTCGTGTTGCTGAGGATACCATAGTATACTTGGCATGTGTGATCATGCATTCTCTAAAAGTTTGTAAAGCTAGCAATCTTTTTTTCCTTTCGTATACATAAAATTCAAAACAACTTAATTCGTATGGGAATTGGCCATGTGTGTTAGTGTTTCAAGTTGTTATGTTACATTTCTGAGACTAATTTTATTTTAGGGTAGAATTTGTTTTTGGTATCAATTTTCGTGTTAGGGTTTGTTTTTTTTTATTTTCCTCCTAGCCAGGGTAACCAATTGGGTTTGGCTAAGGTTAAGAGAACCAAACTTTGGTCTAATTTAATTATAAGTTTAATATTGGGATGTGGCCTAGGAGGAAGTATATAAGCACTCTTAACCTAATTTTTGTGTTAGAGAAAATAAGGAAAAGAAAGGTGATTTTCGGATCTAGAAGAAGAGAAAAACAGAGTTGTCAGGGTTGTTGTTTTGAATGTTTGGGTAAACTTCGATCTTGCTAACTTTGGGTGGTTAGTCTCGTGATTTAGTGTTCTTTAGATTCAACGGGGGAGATTGTGGTTTAGCAATTGGTTTAAGAGTTTTGTGGGGTATTAGCATAGTTAGTAGCTAGTTTCTCAAGTTTCCAGATTTTCGTGTAGCATCTATCGTTAGTGTTTGGGAGATCCAGCATTGAGTTTTTCCTGATTTTAGCTAATATTTTGTGGAGGTGTTATGGTGGAAATTTGATTCCATGACCGGATTCTTAGTGAATTTAGAGTCGCTTAGGACCAAATATTTCTGTCAGATCCCGATCTCTACGTTTGGATCCACTCGAAGATTGCCACGTGGATCATAAGTCAACCAAATGGGAGTCAATGAAACGCGTACCCAAACCAAAGTCTCCAAGTAAGGCCAAATGAACCAAAAAGTTCGGAAGACACGCCGAAGAGGAAGGAGACTTCAAAGTCGAATAATGGGCCGAGAACTGGAAGGCTCATGAAGGGTTCAAAAGGATTCAAATAAAGACGTTATGACATTTATTGCAGAATCAAAACAGACACATTTATGAGCAATGGCTAATCAATGTAAATCATTTTGTATAAATATCAGACCCCCAAGACAAAAAGAAGTACATCAAATTCTTGCTATACTATTAATATTATATTATTTTCTCTCTACATTTTGAGTACATTTTCATATTTTTTTATATAAATTTTATGTCTTGTATTTTGATCTTGAGAGCTTTAGTCCACGAATTATATAAATACTTGAGTGTGTGAATCCGACATCTACATTTATTAATGAATACTAAATTTAGATTTTAAAAATATTAGTTTAATTATCTTCTATACTATAACTAACTAAGCATATTGATTATTGAAGTATTGATTCGGTCTAGTTTAAACCGTATCGAATTGAACCAAACTGTTTGGGTTACGAAAAGTTTAACCGAACAGTTTGTGCATGGATTATGGTTTGGCTTGCATCGGTTTGGATTCAGTTTGTTCGGTTCGTAAAAATGTAACTCACAATTTCGAAACACAACCAAGAAAAGCGACATACTTTTTGTTTCTATAATGTGAGAGAAAAGAGAGTAACACACTACAATATGTACAAAAGATACAGAATATTGTATAATTCATCTCTAACAAAAGAGAGTAGTATCACATCAAATTAACATTCCATAAAACAAAAATATTAACCCATAATAAAAAAAACACTACAACGTGTAATTTTTTGGCTTGGTAGAGAGACTCAGAGAAGGGACAAGTTCTTAAGAAAAGGCAGTGGAGATTGAGAGCATTGTTGGGCGAGCTTGTGGATCAGAATGCAAGCACATAAGTGCAACTTTCAAAATCTCTAAGACCTCCTCTTTAATCTCCGGTGTCGGTTCCGGTAGCCGGTGGTCGGAAATGCTTTTCAATGACAGAGATGTGTCCGGAGGAGATGATGAAAGAGTTGAAACTAGATCTCCCGGATGCTCTCCTTTGATCACTTCAAGTGTTAGAACTCCAAAGCTATACACATCGCATTTCTCAGTCACTTTCATCGCGTATGCTAGTTCTGTCACATCCAAATTTCACAAAAATATTAGACACTATCATTAAAAAAAAAAATCTGTTTATATTAAATCCAAAATCAGATTTTTAAGACTTCTAGGAGTGGACATTTTTTTTTTCTTTCTAAAAACCAAAACGAATCAAAATTGAAATGCTTAGAACTCAAAAAACAAAGTCGAAGTAAAATAAATGTTGTAAACGAATTTCATGAATGGTTTATGTTTCAAAGTTTATATATTTAACATAAATGTATTTAAATTACATAATCTATTTTAATTATTTATTCTTATTTTTGTAATTTCTTTTTTATTTTAAAAGCTGAACCTATATCCACATAAAACCAAAATTTATCTCCAAAAATTAGAATAAAAATTTCAGAAAACCTAAAAACAAATTTTTCAGTTTTTTATTTGGTTATAAATTACTTATAATAGAAAGAATTCTAACTATTTACTTAATTTGCAAAAAACATTTTGTCGTTAAAACTGAACCAAATCTAACCCATAAGCAAAATTTTATGAAACTGAAACAAAACATTTTGGTTTTTATTTGGTTCAAACTAAAACTTTGTCAAAAACCGAATAAACCAAACCAAAAAATACCAACTCCTAAACCGGCTAAGACCTGAACCGGGTTAAATCAAAATCCAATTTATCTACCGGGTTAAAAAAACCGTACCTGGAGCAACATAACCGTAAGTACCAGCAACGGCGGACCAATTCGAAGAATCCGGTTTAAGAAGCTTCGCAGTACCAAAATCAGAGATCTTCGCTTCATAATCCTCACCGAGAAGAATATTCCCGCTACTAATATCACGGTGAACAATCGCCGGAAACCGATCATGATGCATATACGACAACGCATGAGCCACACCTTTCACAACATTGATCCTCTTTCCCCAATCTAACTTCTTCGCTTCATCATCATTCTCCAAAACTTTCCTCAAGCTTCCTCTCTCCATGTACTCGTAAACCAGAAACGTGTTGCGGCGGTGCGAGCAGAATCCGAAGAGTTTCACGACGTTCCGGTGACGGATCTCGGTTAGTGCTCTGATTTCGTTGAGAAACTCTTGTTTTGTTGATGGATTTGTGATTGATGAGTCTGTTGTTTCGTTTAGCTTTTTCACTGCCATGATTGCGTTTGGTAGCTTTGCTTTGTAGACTTTGCCGTGTCCTCCGGTTCCGATTAGGTATTTTGAATCGAATTCTCCTGTTGCTTTGATGATTTCTTGGTATCGGACTTTTCCGTCGAAGCTGAAGATTGATAATGTTTCTCCTCCGGATTCTGAATCTGAGTTTTCTTCGATTTGTTTGGTTCTTTTACGGAAGCAGATGAAGATTCCGGCGCAAACGGAGAGGATTATGATTGCTCCGATGATTGGAACGAGTATGTAGATGATTAGGTTTCGATCTTTGTTTGATTTCTTCTTGGAGGATGTGATTGAACATGGCTTCAAGGCTGTGTTATTACCACATAAGGCGTTGTTACCTTCAAATGCATCTGGAGCTGCGTTTCGAAACGCTGCGTTATCTGGAATTGGACCTTGGAGGTTGTTGTGTGATACATCGATGTGTGTTAGTGCTAGCATATCTTTGAAACTTGGTGGGATTTGACCTGAGAGATTGTTGTGTGAGAGGTCGAGTCTTTCGAGGTTTATTAAAGAGCTGAACTGTGATGAGATCTCTCCGTCGAGCTGATTGTAGCTGAGATCAAGCATTTGTAGCTGAGACAGTTTCGTTAATCCCTCGGGGATGGTTTGATCCAAGTCGTTTCTGCTCAGGTTCATGTAATAGAGCCTTTGCAAAGAGTTGAGAGTTGCAGGGATCTCGAACCCGAATCGGTTTGAGGATAGATCAAGATACTCAAGATTGGTTAAGAGACTGATTCCTGAAGGGATTTTGCCAGATAGCTGATTCCCGTTGAGTTGGAGTTTTGATGTACGGTTGATATTGCTGATTGATTCAGGTAACTCGCCGGTGATGCGGTTGAAAGATAGATCGAGCTGACTGAGCTGTGTCATGTTCCAAATCTCAGGTGGGATGGCTCCAGTGATGCTGTTGTTTGAGAGGATGAATGCAACCAGCTTTGTACTTTGTTCCCAGTTGGCTGAAAGTTGCCCATGAAAGTTGTTGTTGCTGAGATCAATGAAGTTGAGAGTCGGGTAAACTCCGAAAGCCTCAGAAATATCTCCAGAGAAATGGTTCCCTTTGAATCTTACTCTGATCAAGCTCTTGCAATCTCTCAAGCTTTTAGGAACAGGACCTTCGAAGTGATTATCATCTAGCGTAAGATTCTCAAGCTTGCCACTTCTACAGATAGTATCAGGCAAGAAACCAGTGAAGTTGTTGGTGTCGAGTTGCAGGACGGTGAGCTCTGTAGAGTTAGCAATGCCCGGTGGGATGGGACCAGAAAGCTGGTTATCACGGAGGAATAACCATTCCAACACGGTTAACTTTCCAAAAGAATCAGGAACAGGACCAGTGAGTTTGTTCTCACTTATCTCCAAATCAATCATAGCTTCCATGTCGCCTAGTTCCGGTGGAATCGAACCACTGAGCTGATTCAGGTAAAGATGAAGAATGGCTAGTGTTTTGATATTTCCTAAGGTAGAAGGTATTGGACCGGTTAGCTTATTTGTATGGAGGCTAAGGGTATCTAAAGCGGTCATATTACCAATCTCAGGAGGGATTTCACCAGAGAGCTGATTTTCAAACATATTGAGAAGAGTTACATTCTTCAAATTTCCAAAACTGGAAGGGATTTTACCGGTAAGGTTGTTCCTATCTAGACATAGCTCTCTAAGGTTGGGTAGGTTTCCTATTTCAGAAGGAATTGAACCAGAAAGAGAATTGATAAAGAGGTAGAGGTTAACTAGTTTGGTAAGGTTTCCAAAAGAAGAAGGTATTGGTCCGGTTAAAAGATTGTCGTACATAGCTATCTCCGTAACCTTAGTTAACCGACCGATTTCCGAAGGAATCGATCCGTTTAACTTGTTTTCAACAAGATGGAGAGTATCTAAGTTACTCAAATCACCAAGCTCAGGTGGGATTTCACCAACTAACTGGTTAATCGACAAATCGAAGTACACGAGTTTCGAGAACCGTCCCCATAAAGGAGAGATCGTTCCAGAGAAACGGTTCATACTAAGATCAACATAAGTGAGATTGGGGAGAGACGAGAATGGAAAATCTTCAAAAGTACCTTCGATACCGGTATTCGTAAGATTCAACCGTACAATGCTCCCGCGTAAGCAGGAAACACCATACCAACTGGTACAGAAGCTGTTTGTGTTTGGATTGACCCAAGAAGAAAGCTTTGAAGAACTTGTCTGGTTTTTGAAAGTTGACTTCCATTTCAAAAGAGCATTAGCTTCTTCAACGGTCGCAGAAGCAGCAAAAGAACAGCTCAAAACTATAGATATGATCAAAAGAACTTGAAGATCACGAGCCATTTTCTGAGGTTAGTGAATTGTTTCTTTTTGCTGGGTTTGTTTTGTTCATACAGTTGCACATTATCTCTACCGTCTTTTATAAACTGGAAAATTGATTTCGTTGACTAGTCCGTGATAGTTGACTATGGGTTGTCACTTGTTAATAGAGGACAAATAAGTCAATATCTTGAATTCTTTCTTTAATTATTGGCCGTTTACTCGTCAAACAAATCTCCACAATATCATTTCGCACATTCACATTTATATAAAAACATTTTACTGACTTCTGTAGTTGTTTTCTATTTTTGTAACAAGATAATGAATGATCATTAGTCAAGTTCTTTGAATGTTATATTATAATTATAAAATAAAATAAAATAGAAGATTGTGACGGCAGGATTGGTGGATTATATGGACTGATAACGATGGTCAATGATTCATTAGAAAAAAAAATTAGTCATGTTCAGTTGAATGATAAGATTACTTGTTTTTCTTTTCAATAATTATCCCTATCGGTAATGGGAAAATGCATTGTTGTTAGTATAGTATAATGCAATCTTTCTTAAAAAGAACTCTAATTTTATTGTGTTCTCATTAACAACTTGTACCATATAGGCATATATACGAAACTTAAATAAAACATGGACTCAAGACCCACCATGGATTCAACATGTCAAATTTCCTTATTATTTATAATAAACGAAAAAGGTTTGTTTTATTTTTGTCAATTACTTTGGTGAAAATAATAGAAATTCAAAATTTTAGTGAAGAGATCTACGACAAAAAGGATTGACTTTTAAAGTCTTGCACAAGTAACTGGCCCACTCTACGCTATCTCATGGATCCTTTTTATTGTAGGGAAATTTGCAAGAATATTAAAAAATTATAAATTAAGAAACTAACACCTAACAAAAAAAAGTCGATATTCTCTATATTTTCTGTATTAATTACAATTTTGACCTTGTCTCTTTGCCCATTTCTCTTCTCTGTCTTTCATAGCACATCCCATTTTTTTCCCAGAATCTCTTTCCTCTCTGATCTTCTACTCATTCTCCCTCTTTCATAAATGCAAACACTAGATTTTATGGTTTCACCAATCGACAACCCTAAGTGTTTACTAAAGTCTCCTTCTTCCTCTCTTCCATTGCTCGTTCATTCCACCAACAACTCCACACCAAAATTGTCTTTTCCCAACCCTTACATGCTATTTTCTTAATTTATACATACATCATGCTATATTCTTAATTAAATTATCAAAAGTGGCTAGTTTTGCAAATCACCCTTTATTGTATTGGATGTTTTTTTTTCTTTTTTTTTTAAATATTGTATTGAATTGTATTATATCAATTATAAAGAAAAAAAAGAATTGTATTATATATTTTTTTTTTTAGTGTAAGTGTATAAGTATTAAAGTATAAATAGTTATTAACATAGTATTCGTTATAAAATCTAAGAATCTATTTCACTATAATTATTGTTGAAAATAATGTGTGAATCCAAGTCCTTCGGGTGCGTTAGGTATAGAAGAAGTCAGAAAAATTAGAATATTTTTCAGAGAAAACTAGAAACTCGACAAAAAAAAATAGGAGACTTAGAATAAACACAGAATAATTAATTGATTGATTGACGTATAGACTTAGTCCGAAGACTGAAGTACAAAGGTTAGCTTGCATGATTAGTAGGTAATAAGATTTACGTGACTATCTACGGCATAGGCCGAGATAAAAAGTTCCAACATAATTTTAAAACGTAATTTGTAATCATCTCGACGATCATCAAAATCCTAACTACTCAATCATTTAAAACGCCTATCAAACCAAAAATTTATAATCCATATATAAAAGAAATCATTCTCATATAGGTTGCAAAAATGTCAACAAAAACAAATCATTTTCGTAGGTTACAACACAAAAGAAGGGAATCCCAAAACCCAAATCCTTGAAAATCCGAATTGTGTATCCTCTGATACGTTCATCAAAATCACAATATTTAAAGACATTTTATGGTTTAATGTTCAAAAAACTCTTCCTCATATATTATTATGATGAGTCTTTACGTATGTCATCAGTCATCTCCTGTTAATTTTTGTTTATATTATTCAATTTAATTGTCTTTAAAATTTCAAAAATGACAAACAAAACAGTCCTTTTGGCTTTTGTAACGCGTTTTCTCTTGTTTCCAAAGAACTTAAGTACTCAATTTCTTTAAATAGAAAAAAAAAAACTTAAAAAAGCTTAAGACATAATGTAGTTATTTTTAGGTTTTCCCAAATATAGTTTTACCATAATTGTAGCTTTTGCTACATGATTGCTAGAGTCTCTCAACTATTCTTGCCCATTCCCATTCTAGGTGTCCCTACTGGCTACTGTTAGGATTTCTAATTAAACCCATATCATATTCACCAAACACTCTTCTCCTAGTACTGATGCCAACTTGATCATGTCCATGCAATCTGTCTCAAAATCAGAAACGGTTGTATGATGTCTGGTTATGGTCTCTATAGCCCAAATAAGGGCCTCCACCGTACCTCCGAATGGAACACTCAAAGACTTCGCTTTATTGCATGAAATGTAATTTAAAGATGCAGTATGGTGCTCCATCCTCAAACATATGGTGTTCCAAACTACTGTCTACTGTATTTGGCGAAAACGGAACTCAAGGCGTCATCAAAGTGGCTGGTCGGATTCAGCTGTCCTCACCCTACTTATTGCAGGGTGATGCTCAACCGTATAAGTTAGAAGGCTTACTTCGTCGCTGGTTTGAAATAAGATTGACATAATGTACTAGTGTTTAAGCTACTTCCCAATCCTTGTTTTATATATGTTGTACATTATTTTTTTGTTGAGCAATAAATTTTACATTTCAACAAAAATATTTTTAAGGATGCCAAATGTATAAACATCTTCTAAACGCCGTATATGTGATCATTTTATTTTAGTATATGTATAAATGAATTGTATAGCATAAAAAATACAATTTTCACCTAAGAAAATATAACAACTTCTTCGAATGTAAGACACTTTTTTTTATTAATACTCCTTCGATCGATGTAAGACATTTTTTTTTTTGGTTTTTAGATCGATGTAAGACATTGTTTCCTATATGTTAAAAAAATAAAGTATAGTCATAGTCAAACTCTTTGAATGTTATATTATAAATACCCTTAAATTGAAGATTCCGACGACTAGGATTGGTGGATTATATGGATCGACAACGATGATCAATTATTTAGAAAACAAAATTTTAGTCATGTTCATTTGAATGATATTATAAATTAGTTATCTTTTTTTTTTGCCCAGTCATTTTGTTGGAAGTATCCCTATTGGCAATGGGAATGTCTTTCAACGTTTTCAATGGATGTTTTTGGGGAAAAAAGGTTCTAAGTTTATCTTTATAAATAAAAAAAATATGACTTAAGAAAAATTGCAGTTTATTACTATCAACATTTTAATTTTTTTTAACATCTTGTACCATGAACCTGAAAACTAAATTAATTATAGAATTTTCTAAAACATGGGTGCATGTAGCTAACTTTTAAACCATCGTAGATCTGACATCTCAATCTTCCGTATCAATTATCATCCAAATAAATAAAAAAAAATTGGCCAAAGAGATTCTGGTGAAAAAGATATTTGACTTTTAAAGTCGTTGCATAACTAATAGTTTTTACAAACTAACTAGCCCACTCAACGCTATGATTTGGATCTTTCTAGCTTGGAATGTTGTTAGTTTTAATTTTTTTTTTTTCAATAACATTATCTTTATTTATGGGTGGCTTGGATAAAAAGTAAATATCTTTCTAGTTCTTCTATGGGCGCTCAATGAAAACAATGTTGTCTACTCTTGGATCTTTAGAAAGTTACTTAAGCTACGTCCCAAAGCTCTTAAATTTTTCAGCATTAGTATTGGAAATGGTGATTCTACCTTCTTCTGGTGGGATCCATGGACTCCTTTTGGTTCTCTTTACCATTATCTTGGTTCAGATGGCCCGTCTCATCTAGGGATCCCTTTGTTTTCAACTGTGGCTGAATTGAGATTTGAGGATAGATGGTCTCTTCCTAATGCCAGATCAGAGAGACAAGCTCTTGTCTACTCTTTCATCTCTACCATTACCATGTCTCTCTCAAATGATACTCCGGTTTGGGCTATTGATGGTGTTCCTTACATGTATTTTTCTTCTAAAGCTGTGTGGAATACTGTTAGGATTTCAAAACCAGCTAAACTTTGGGCTCCTCTTGTGTGGCACATGGCTGCCATCCCAAAACATGCTATAACATCCTGGTTGTTTTTACTCAATCGTAACCATACTCTTGATCGTTTGTCTACTTGAGGCTATGATGTTGAGTTAGACTGTCTCCTTTGTGGTTTAGCCCAAGAATCACGAAACCATCTGTTTTTTGACTGCGCATTTTCTTCAGAGGTTTGGCAATTCATCACACAACGGCTTCAAATCTCATCTCCTCCGCTTTTATGGGATCCTTTTGTTGTCAACGACTTCAGTCTCAAAGCATAAAAAACTTGCCCTCCTTCAACGTTGCCAGGGTACGATTTATGAACTGTGGCGAGAGAGAAATCGACGTTTTCATGATGGTGTTTCTCTCTCTCCAGATATCGTAGCAAGAGACATTATTTCCACCATGGAAATTAAGTGTAATGCAATTATTGAGCTCGGATTAAAGCTTGGATTCTCTATTCTTCAATGCTGGATTTGCTAAGCTAAGTTTGGGCACTGTTTCTTCTTCCTTTATCTAAGCTTTCTTGGTTTGGATCCTTCGTCATCCTTGATCTCGTTCTAGTTCTCCTTTAATTTTTCTATTTTACGTTTGTAAAGATTTTATCTTGCTTCTTTGTATACTTTTTATTTATATAAGAAAACTTTTAACAAAAAAACTTTATCTTTATTTAACTTTAATTCGAGTATATGAATGGTTATTAACATCGTTATAAATTCTAGGAGTCTATTTCACAATAATTATATGTGAGAAAATTAGAAAGTCGACAAGTATGAAAAGGAGAAGTCAATGAAACAAAGAAAAAAAGAAAGAAAGGATAAGTCAGTGACATGGACT